TTTAATTATTTTCTTTTTAGCTAAAACCGCGACTCGCCGGATTGCAATTGATGCAGCAGCAGCACTGCCGTGAGGCGGTAACCGCGGCAACGGACTGACAAGCAAAGGATGCTGCGGACCAGCCCCGGCTCCCCGGTAGCAGGAGGAGGTCAGTCGATTTTAGCTCATCTCCATCAAAACGATTCATTCATTATTTCACAGCTGAGCACCCCTCCACCGCCACCGAGTCCCAGCCATCGGTGCGTCTATGTCATTTAGCCTCCGCTGGGTTTACGTGTACCAGGAAAAGCCGATTTAAATATACGCCCGCTCTGCTTTGCCACTCAGAGATTCAGAACAACCAAAACCGTTTATTCCTTGTGAGACTTGGATCAACCACTGGAAAAGCAGCTGGTGCATTTCAGCATCTCTACAACCGCCTTCGCTTTCTTTTCTGAGCAACTATCACCCTTAACGAACTTCTCCACTCGTTATGGAATTCCTGGCCAGCAAGCCCCCCCTCTCCCTCAGAGACCAGGCAGCCGAGGGCACCCGCAGCGAGGCACGCCGCCACCTCTCACCGCTCCGCGGCGGCACTAGCTGCGAGCCATTTTTCAATCCGTAAAAACCAACCCGGCAGAAACCCGGCAGAAGGGCATTCCTCATTGTGCCGAGAGGAAGATCGAGCTGAAGAGCCGCGTGCCTAGCTACGACAGCCCCCGCGTGTTTACCGTCCATTTTCTGCCCTACTGTTCTGCATCCTTTAGGTATTTTTCAAACAAACAAGACAGGCGTGCAAACTCTTTAGGAATGGGTGCAACAGCCCACACGACGCAGCTTCCACACGTCCCGCTTGGGATTTGGGGCTTTACGGTGCGTCAGTACAACACGGCACCTGAAGGAAAGCCTCAGCTCCCACTGCTGCAGCTCCCGAAGCCTCCCTTCTGTTGAAAACAGACAAATAAAAATTGCTCATTGCTCCCCCTCAAACATTTCAGAGGAACTTAAAAGCGCCTTGCGTTTAATTTAGCAGAACCCCCTCCTGAGCGCCTGTCAAGTAGGTCGCAGGCAGTCTCAGCTTCACGTTTGGGAACTGAGGGAGAAAGAGAAGGAAAGAAGGAATTGGTCCAAGGTCACACGGCAAGACCTTGACAAGATCTTAAAAAAAACCACCAAACAACCCAAAGATAACACCCACATCCTATTTAAAGGCCAGCCCTTCCTGGTGAAGTCAATGGCTAATGTCAGGGAGCTCCACCAGGCAGGCGCAGGGAACCTCCTGTGCCCAACACGAAGGGACCGGGAGGTTTTTGTCAACAAAAAGGGAAAACAAGAAGCGCTGTGCCGAGTTCTGTGCTCGCCTCTGCAACGCTGCAGAACGCGACGAGTCTACGCGCACAGAGGTTTCGCTTGACGCACGTTGCAGGAGCTTAACCCGTCTGTGAAACCAGCGGCGACCTACTGGCGCAGTGTATTGTCAGCAAAGCCACAAGGACAGACTTGCTTTATCGAGAAGAGGTTTAGAATCCGTAGAGGCTCTCGTCTGGCAGAGCCGCCGGGTGCAGCCGGAGGGGACGACCCCCAGACGGCTCAGCTGCAACACGTCGCCACCCGAAACTTACTGCCTCGGCGCGGTAAAAGGCCCATCCGGTAGCGAAAGCCCGGCGCAGGCCCTCAGCTCACACGCACCCGGCAAATGTTTTGGGAAACTCCTCTGGGGGAGGCTGGCGGAGGGGGCAGCGGCGCTGGCGAGAAGGGAAGAGGGATTACGCTGGTGCCTCTGGGAAGGGAACACGGCAGCGCCGGGGCCGGTCTCCCCTCCGAGGGTTCGCACCCTCTTGGCGCACTGCCCTACCCCCGGAGCAAAGACACGGCTCTCTCCCTTTCGGTATCCACCTCTCTGC